ACATATTTAAATCTATTTTGCAGATTTTCTTTTTACCCGTTACCAGAGCAGAACATGCACACATGCCATGTGGGCCTTGTAATATCATTCATGCAAATTTTGCAAAACAAACATTAAGAGTGTTATAGTGGTGGAGCTGGAGAAAAACAAATATAAAATGAAGGCACCACATATGTATCATCACATAAGATGGGAAAGAAAATTGTCATAAATGGAAATCATAAATGGAGCTAGGTGTGCAGATCTGATGTACATATTGTTATCTGTCCAGGTGGCTATAACAGAGAAGAGTGCTTGAGGACTGTGGAGTGTTATAACCCAAAGAAGGACTGCTGGACTTTCATTGCCCCCATGCGCACTCCACGAGCTCGCTTCCAGATGGCTGTACTAATGGTAAAGACAGTGCACGGTTTCCAATCCTGAAGCAGCTGTGGTGCCTCTGCCATTAGACCTAAATTAATGTTTTTCTCTCAGGGTGAACTGTATGTGATGGGTGGCTCCAACGGTCACTCAGATGAGCTGAGCTGTGGAGAGATGTATAACCCTAAGGCTGACGAGTGGATTCAAGTTCCTGAGCTCCGTACCAACCGTTGCAATGCAGGTAGGCATCACTTCCTGCCAAGCAATTTATTGAATATTTGCGACGGTTTTGAATGAGCTTTTTCTATTCGGTCCTGAAGGCTGAAAATAAAAAAGGGCATTAAAGGGGTGAATAATCTCTCTTCCTGTTTCTTCTCAGGTGTGTGTTCTTTGCAAAACAAGCTTTTTGTGGTGGGTGGATCTGATCCTTGTGGCCAAAAGGGCTTGAAGAATTGTGACTCCTTTGACCCTGTGACAAAAATGTGGACCAGCTGCGCACCCCTCAACATCAGTATGCCTATTAAATTTTATGTTCTGAAATGACTTAGATTTTTGCAAAACCCAAAATGTGAGATTCACCATGTACATTATCTCTCTTCTGTGTTTAGGGAGGCACCAGGCAGCAGTGTGCGAGCTAAATGGATTTGTGTACGTGATAGGTGGCGCTGAGTCCTGGAACTGCTTAAACTCAGTAGAGCGCTACAACCCAGCAAACAACACATGGACCCTGGTGGCCCCCATGAACGTGGCCCGTCGTGGAGCTGGTGTGGCTGTGTATGAAGGTAAAAGGAGACTCGTGTTTAAATTAATAGATCACCCAAAAAAAAATTTGAAATGCTGAAAATATACTCAACCTCAGGCCATCCCAGATGAAGATGAGTTTGTTTCTTCATCGGAACGGATTTTGAGAACTTTAATGTTACATTACTTGCTCGCCAATGAATCCTCTGCAGTGAATGGGTACCGTCAGACTGAGAGTCCAAACTGCTGATGAAAACATCACAATAATCCACACACAGACTCCAGTCCATCAATTAACATCTTGTAAAAAGCTGTGTTTGTAAGAAACAAATGCTCCAATAAGGCATTGTAACTTTATACCATGATTTCTGGCCAAAATATGAGTCCATAATCCATAATCATGCTTCCTCCAGTGAAAAGTCCATCCGCTGTTGTTCTCTCACATTAAAATTCTCCAACATATTTGTTTAGAACGTTTTGGAGCATTTTCGCTTGTAAACAGTGTTTGATCTGTGCACATTTCTCTCCTGATTGAGGCGAGACAACTTCTTTGGAGAAAGCAAGATTATGGATAGGAGACTCATAATTTATCCAAAAATTGTTTTAGAACAGCTTTAATAATGGATTTATTACAAACACGCAGCTTTTGCTTCACTGGAGTCTTGTGGATTATTGTGATGTTTTTATCAGCTGTTAGGACACTTGTTCAGACGGCACCCATTCACTGCAGAGGATCCATTGGTGACCAAGTCATGTAATACCAAATTTTCCCAAATCTGTTCCAATGAAGAAAATAATCTACATTTTGGATGGCCTGAGGGTAAGTACATTTTCAGCTAATTTTATTCCGGCTGTTTATTCTGGCAGGGTTATAAAGTCTTACTGGTAGGAAAATGACTGAAGCTTGTCAGATTCAGGGCTTGGCTTCAATTAAGTAATTTCCAACTGCTTCCAGGGAAGCTGTTTGTGGTCGGAGGATTTGACGGCTCTCACGCTCTGCGTTGTGTGGAGGTCTATGACCCAGCCAAGAACGAGTGGAGGATGTTGGGAAGCATGACATCAGCACGGAGCAACGCAGGGCTGGCTGTGCTGAATGGTGTGCTCTGTGCAGTTGGGGGCTTTGATGGCAATGAGTTTCTCAACACCATGGAGGTGTATGACCCAGAGATCAATGAGTGGAGCCCGTTTATAGTGGCATTAACCAAGAACTGCAGGGTGTCAGGATCTCTCCTGTCCTCAAACTGACACACATTGTAATGTGACTGTGCTTTACTGATGTTCATCAGTTTAGGCGCTGAGGAGAGAGACTCTGATAGATGCTTATATGGGGTTGCCCAAAGCAACAAAGCTTTTGCATATTGCATAATTTCTATGTAAATAGATTTTTCTTTCTTTCTCCTTTTTTATCTTTTTTGTTTTGCTATCAAAGCCAGTACTTGGAGTGATATTTGAAGATGGTATGGTTAATGTCATAAGAACAGGTTTATTAGATTGTTATAATGTGAACTGTGTCGAAGGTTCATGACGCAGTGCTTAGTTCATCATGAATGATTTGACATTGATTTAATGCCTTGCTTATTGAAGATGAGATCTATATATGTATAGCTGGGAAGTCTTTGACCACAGAATACTTAAAGCTCATCTTAAATGGAGCCATAATGCTTCAGTGGGATTGTATCTTGGCTTTTTATAGCATTTTTATAAAACTTATGTAAGTGTCTAACATGTACACCTGACAAGCGTACATTCCAGTTATGAATGAATTTGTGCTGCAGGCTTGTTTTTGCAAAGATTCTTATTTTATATGCTAAAAAGGCCAATGATGATAATGCCACTTTTAACACCAATTAATGTTTCATCTCATTCATTTTTGTATTTAAAACTGTTAGACCTGATTTCTTAATGATTATTTTTGTTTTTTGGTACAAAAACGGTGCAAAAATTAATAAACCATTTCAACTTCGAATGAATTGAGTGTCAACTTTCATCCAAATATTTCACTGGCTAGATTTAGCTTTTGTTTTAATTATTCTGTAGAGTAAAACATGCCTGTTTGATATTTTGTCTTTCCATCAAGGGTCTTAATGGAGACATTTACTTTAACTTTTTAAATCCATTAATTCCAAAGATTCGTACTTGCTGTACAAATGTAAATCCACCCCAGCTAGATAGATGTTTTTTTTATATACAGTATATATAAATCCAGTAATTATGCCTGGAAAGGTCATGGAAATGTGTGGCTCAGATGTGTGGGAGCAGTGCAGTGTGGAGATCGGGTATCATGTCAAAATCATCTCCATGCAGATTACATGCTGCGTTAAGAGGATTCTGCACAGGAGTAGTGGAGAGTACTATGCCAGTGAAATTATTGTAAAACGGTTACTTGGCAGTTGGCCTACAGGTCACAATGTGCGCCATTCCATGCCCCATTCATTAAAGAGCAGAGCACTCTTAGTCCCTGATCCCTGTGGCAGGCCACTCTAGGTAAATGGGCCAGTCACTGTGAAATGATGGGACTTGAGAAGGACAAAGTTTTTTTTATTTTTTTATGTCTTTATAGTTTTTATTAGTTCTTTAAAAATGCTTTCAGTTTTAGTTATTTTAGTTCATCAAAAAAAGAAACTAAATAAGTCTAAAACACCTTCATGAATGTCCAACAGCTCCAATTCCAGTATTCCTTTTGTCCCAGTACTACGCTTGTATTATCTGACTGGATACATGGCAGCCAGCTATCTTTCACTGATGATTTAATTGGCACATATCCTCTGCAGTGAATGGGTGCCATCAGAATGAGATCAACCAGCTGATAAAATCATCATAAGCACCCATTCACTGTAGAGGATCCATTGGTGAGCAAGTGATGTAATGCTACATAACTTCTCTACATCTTGGATGGCCTGGGGTTGAGTAAACCTTTAGCATATTTTCACTTTTGGGTAAACTCTTTGTTTAAAAGAGTAAATATAAGAGGTGTATAGATGGCTGTTTAGTCCGGCAGAGTTATAAAGTCTCACTGGAATTGTCACCTCTTGGTATAAATGCTTTGGTCCTTTACAAGGACTTTTACATTTGAATAACTCAGTACAACTCTGGTTCTGTAAATATGTGTAGAGAGCCACAGGATGTAGTGATTCAGGAAACCACACAGTATTACCACAGTGCAAGAACTGCATTCTAGTCTATTCAAAGTTAAAATGCAGGGTTTTTTTCTATACTCTGAGAAATGAACTAAAATCACCAGTATTCTGAATTTTCAGTAACAGAATAAGGTTTACAGTTGCATGCAATGTAAAGCAAATATAACCGCATACTAAACCCTTTTTAACGGGATTATGTAAGAGCCAAGCCATTTTGTTTATAGTTGTGGTCTCTTACATAAGGCAGGCAGACATGAGCACAGGTTTTAAGGACTCTTATGCATAATGGCTTCAAATGCTTTTACCTTTTAAAACCTACTTGGAACATTCCTAGAATGTTGTTATTTGGTTTCCCAAAACATTTATAAAGTATATCAATATTTTAATATTAATATGGTTATGGTTAAAAAATAATTTCCCAAAATAACCAAACTGTAACCAAATACTAACGTTAGGAGAATGTTCCAATAAATTGCTTGGATTCTTATGGCTGATTTAATCAGATTCACACAGGCAGTGTGATCAATGCTTTAATTTTTGACATAGCCACTCTAAATCGAGTGTCAGTGACTCGTTTGGACAGGATACTGGCACAAAGGACAACTACGGTCAGTGCGTTTGCATCATGTGACCTTCCTTAGTTCTTGAGGCCTGACCATGCAGCACCGCCCTCAAGCAGAGCTATTTGAGGACAGACTATGTTGTTATTAATAATTACATTTGCGAGGAATAAGAGCAAACTAGACGAACTAACTGTATCACCAGCAGCCCTGATTTACAAAAGCATTACTGTACTTTTCCAGAGTTTTGCTAAAATGTGAGTGAATGATTACTTGAATAGTTCAGTAATGAATCATCCAGTATATGAGTAAGCTATTAAGAAGTTTACATGCCCGCACTGCCAGAGGTAACGGAAGCTGGGCACAGTGGTGGACAGAGGAAGAGGAGAAGCAGGCATTGTATTTTCGGAAGTAGGCAGAAAATATCCCCCAGCTAGATTACTTGTTTACATATTTGACACTGATGACCACCATGTTTTTAGGTTAAAACTTCAACTGTTTATAACTCAGGCACTATAGAACTTATTTTAGCTTGACATGGGATAGTTCACCCAAAAATGAAAATTACTCCACTAGAAAGTGGTGTTCCAGCGGATGACATAGGATGATGGCGTAGCGTAAGCTCCAGTGAGAATATGCTAGTCTCGCGAGAACCAAGTTTTGTTTACAGCAAAGGAAAACCTCTTGGCTTATATTGAAATCCTCTGACATTTTTCTTTACAAATCGTTTTGTACTTCTAATTCGTGACCAGTGTTTTGATTTGCTTTCTCTTCTGCGCTTCCGCGTTTGTCACCAGAGCTTACGCTACAGCTACGTGCTACGTCATCCACTGGAACGCCACTCTCTCATACACACATGTACGACAGTTAACAGAAGCTAGAGATTGCATCACTTTGCTTCAGAAGGCCTTTATTAACCCCCTTTTTATGATGGATTGATGCACTTTATTTTGTTTCAAAATCGACACCCATTCACTGCCAGTATAAAGCTTGGAAGAGCCAGGACATTTTTTAATATAACTCCGATTGTATTCGTATGAAAGAAGAAGGTCATATACACCTAAGATGGCTTGAGGGTGAGTAAATCATGGGGTAATTTTAATTTTTGGGTGAACTATCCCTTTAAGGTCCCTTCACACCAATGACGATATAACAATAACTGCAAAGTTTTAGTAATTGTTCTAAAAGGCTATTAACACCAAGAGCGATAACTGTAATGATAACTATAATTTTGAATAATCATTCTTATTCTGTGAGAATAGAAAAGTGGTGTGGATGCTAATATAGTTATTACAGTTATCATCATAGTTATAATTCTTGGTGTGAAAGCACCTTAAAGGGGTCCTATTATGCTCTTTTACAAAGTCTTGATTTTGTTTTGGGGGTGTATACAGGCTCTCATACTAGGTTGTTCGAAAAACACATTATTTTTCACATTTTACATTATTACAACACCTCTCTCCCCAGTCTGGCATGAACGGCTCGAATAGTTCCTGTATCAAATGAACACTCGTTGCCTTCTCTAGCGCAGCTCAACCAGATCTTTTTTATGCTCAAACAGCGACATTACAGACTAAAAGTTGAAAAAGCATAATAGCACCCCTTTAACTCTGAGAATGGCAAAGTCCATAGCACAACTAGAACGATAACAACACCGTTCAGAATGACTTTTTTTTTATCTAAAATTTTTAGATTTTTAGATCTTTTATTTACAAGTACCTGAGTTGGTTGTGTAGCATGACTCACACTCCCAGTCCCAGAAGACCACTCATTATGCAGCGAGTGGTTTCAGTTCAGATGAATCCCCTTTGCTCAGCTGCTAAGCATTTGCATCCCATGGGTGAAAAAAGTCCTTCTGGGACTCATTAGTAACTATGCAGACTGTCAAGAGAATAGAAATGAAGAACATTTGTTCTAATGGATGTCCATATCAATATTCCGACCTACAGGCAGAAGCTGAAATCAGCTAAACCTGTAATAAGGACTGTAAAAATATGGACTAATGAAGCAGAGCAGGATTTACAAACCTGCATCGACTGCATTGGAGTGTTTTTGAGGCTGCTGCCACCGATCTGGACGAGCTTGCAAAGACTGTAACATCATACATAATGTGCATCCCTACCAGGACTCATTTAACTTACAACTACAAACCATGGTTCACTGCAAAACTCAGACAGGTCCGTCAGGCCAAAGAAGATGCCTACAGGAATGGGGACAGAGTCTTGTATAAACAGGCCAAAAACACACTGATAAAGGTGATCAGAGTGGCTAAGAGGAACTACTCCGAAAAGCTGAGAAACCGGTTTTCTGCCAGTGACCCTGCATCAGTGTGGAAAGGACTGAAAGATATCACCCAACTACAAGACACCATCCCCCAGCACTGTGGAGAATCAACAACTGGCCAACGATTTGAATGAGTTTATTGAAGGTTTGAAAAACACTGTCTCACACCCCACACCCATTCTGACCTTCTCTCCATGGATCTATTACCACCAGCAGCAACCCCCCTCTCCGCCCCTCCTGCACTTCACTGCACTTTCACCTCTGTGAAAAAGATGTGTGGCAGGTCTTCCGGAAACAGAAGCGAAAGAAAGCACCAGGCCCAGACGGTGTTACACCAGCCTATCTAAAAACCTGTGCTGAGCAGCTGGCCCCCATCTTCACACAGATCTTCAACAGATCACTGTAGCAGTGCAGAGTCCCTTCCTGCTTCAAACTCTCCACCATCATCCCCATCCCAAAGAAACCCAAAATTACAGGACTAAATGATTATAGATCAGTGGCTTTAATATCTGTGGTCATGAAGTCATTTGAAAGACTGGCGCTGGCCCACCTGAAGGACATCACTGAACCCTTGCTGGACCCCTTGCGGTTTGCTTACCGAGCAAACAGGTCTGTGGATGATGCAGTCAACATGGGACTGCATTATATCCTACAACATCTGTACAGACCAGGGACTTATATAAGGATCCTGTTTGTGGACTTCAGCTCGGCCTAATCCCAAACTTCCTCCTGTCCAAATTAACTGAGCTCTCTGAACCCCCCTGCACTCTTCCCACTCACGGACAGTCATTCAAGTTCCTGGGCACCACCATCTCTCAGGAACTGAAGTGGGAGTTCCACATAGACTCCATTGTCAAGAAGTCCCAGCAGAGGCTGTACTTCCTTCACCAGCTGAGGAAGTTCAACCTGCCACATTAGCTGCTGATACAGTTCTACTCTGCAGTCATTGAATCTGTCCTCTGCACTTATATAACTGTCTGGTCCAG